TGTAGAACTAAGATTGAAAGTCTAGAAAAGAAATATTTCCACCGAATAGAAAATACGTGTATACAGATGTTTTGCGAAGACTTGGACTGTCAACAGAGCCGAAATTCCGTGTAGCAGTAGTTGCGCGGTCTTGCGATAGATAGTGCTGGCATATGTTAGATAAGAACAGATGTATGCGTTTGAGTAAGACAGAATGATATATATTATATAATATAATGTAAAAACTAAATCAAAGATGTCGCCACTATTATCGAAATTGGAATTTAAAAAGTCTGTACTATCGACCTTGATTGAGTTGGGTAATCGGTTTAGCATCCCCTTAAGCAGAAATTCCCTTTTCCAATAATTCAAGATCTTTTAGCCAGATTGGGCAACAAAAAAGTGTTCACTTTGATCGACTTAAAGGACGGTTTCCATCTAATTAAAATATATCCAGATTCCGCCAAGTATTTTTCATTTGCCACTCCGGATGGCTAGTACGAGTACTTGCGGTTACCTTTCGGATATTGCGAATCCCCTGCGGAATTCCAAAAAAGAATTTATCATATTCTACAACCACTGATCAGAGAGGACAAGGCCTTGGTTTATATCGACGATATACTTATTTCGTCCGAATCTGTTGACGAAAATTTAATAGTTATTAAGCAAGCATTGTTGTTACTCAGGGAATACCAATTTGTAGTTAATTTTGAGAAAAGCCAATTCCTCAAACGGCCCATTAAATTCTTAGGCTATGTAATATCCCCAAAGGGAATAACTTTAAATGACAAACATGTTGAAGCAATTAAACGTTTTCCCGTTGCAAAAAACGTTACTGAATTACAGAGATTCTTAGGTCTCGTAAATTTTTTCCGCCGGTTTATCAAGGACCTTGCCACTAAAGCTAAACCGTTGCATTCGCTGCTCAAGAAAAATACAGAATTTAAGTTTGACGATAACTGTATTACAGCATTCGAACAATTGAAATCTGACTTGTTTTCATACCCGGTATTGAGACCCTATCAGCCTCATTTACATACTGAGCTGCATACTGATGCGAGTTCTATCGCGCTCGCCGCGATACTCTTACAAAAACAGGATTTCGGTACATTAGCCCCTGTGGCTTATTACAGTCAATCCACTAACGAAGCCGAAGCTAGATACCATTCTTTCGAGTTGGAAATGTTGGCTATCGTAAAAGCCACAGAACGGTTCCACATTTATTTGGCCGGAATACCCTTTAAAGTCATTACGGATTGTAACTCATTAGTGCTCGCCATGAATAAAGCTAATATCAATCCACGGGTAGCTCGCTGAATCTTGCGATTACAAAATTATACGTTTTCAATCCAACATAAGAGCGCCCAAAAAATGACACATGTAGACGCATTAAGCCGAATAGTTGCGTCCTCAGATACTATACGTCTCGAGAGGGAGCTACAACTTAGACAGTTAGCAGATCCGAATATTAAAGTTATCGCTCAGCAATTAGAAAAACATACGCATCACGAGTATGATCTTATAGATGGATTAATCTATAAAAAAGAATCCGATCGCGCTAAATTTGTAGTGCCAGAAGGCACGATTCATAAAATACTTTACGTCTATCACGACGAATCTGTCCACTGTGGTACCGAAAAAACTTACCAAGGCATTAACGTCAACTATTCGTTTCGCCATGCGCCGTAAAATCAAAAGTTATCTAACGAATTGCGTGACCTGTATAATGGCAAGTGCGTCAGCTAATCCGAAAACAGGCGAATTACAGATTACTCCCACAGCAGGAAAGCTCTTTCAGATAATGCACGCAGATCATTTTGGTCCTTTACCCGAATCCCGTAAGTCCGGATCTACAATAGGGTTTTAAGCCTTAAGCCATAAGAAATGGGCGAATCACAGTCGCTTATTCTTCTCGAATTCAATTGTAATTGGTCAATTTCTTACGGCTTAAGGCTTAAAACACCTATTGTAGATCCGGGGTAATGGAATAAAACACATTCTACTTTTAATTGATTCGTGGACGCGGTTCACTTGGCTTTTTCCAGTAAAATCCACTACAACACGCGAAGTGATCAAGCATTTCTCTTCATTGTTCGATAACTACGGAAATCTCAATGAAATTGTAACTGATCGGGGAACTGCATTCTCGTCAGTCGAATTTGTCGAATTTTTGCGCCCCCGCGGAATTAAACATCGTATGATTGCGGTAGCATCTCCCTGGGCGAATGGGATGGTTGAAAGAATTAATAGATTCTTGAAGGCTTCACTTAAAAAGGTTGTAGATGACCCTGTAGATTGGCCCAGCAAACTAGCTACTATACAGTATGTAATTAATAATATCTTTCACTCTACAACTAAAGCGTCTCCCTCCAAGTTATTGTTGGGATACGAAATGAAAAATCATTCCGATAGTAAACTTATCGAATTCTTGATTGAATTAGTTAAGATACAAACTACACAGGATCAAGATTTACCTTGGTTAAAGGAACGAGATAATAGTCGTAAACTTGCAATTGAAACCACCGATAAAATTAAAGAATACAATAAAATTTATTTTGATCGTAATCATAAAGCACCAAAGAAATACAAAGCGGGTGAACACGTGCGCGTTAAGGATGATGTTGTCAAACCTGGGGAAAGTAAAAAATTAAAATCGGATTTCAAAGGTCCTTACATGATAGACAAAGTGTTACCACACAATCGTTACGTTGTCAAAGATATCCAGGGTTTAACATTACTCCTAGACCTTACGACTCGATTGTGTCGCCCGACAAATTCCGACCATGGATAAAACCAGTAATACCCGTGTAAAATCTCGGTATATCAAATAGTCATAAGCTTAGTTAATAGTTAGCGTAAGAATTTTATTTCTGTTGATAGCGATTGATAAATGTATAAGTGTTACAGAGTACCGCCATGCAAACTTAAGTATAATTGTTAAGACAAAATTACTGTTGCGTTGATAATTGATCAATTGATTATAATTAGTTTATTTCTTTTCCGACACCTATTGTTGCGTTGATAATTGATCAATTGATTATAATTTGTTTATTTATTTTCCGACATCGATTCTGTTTGATTTTCTTAAAAGGAAATAGTTAGCCACGTTCGGGACGAACGCAAATGCAGAACGGCCGAGCTGTAAGCATCGACATCCAGAATGGACCGCTGATGGCAATGGTGGGGGTAGAAAGACGATTAGAGTGAGAGGCAGGAATAATAAGATCGTTCTTTCTCTGTTTACTGTTGTTTCTAACAGCCTGATTGGTTGTTGGATTAACAACCACCAATCAGACTTCAGTAAACAGAGAAAGAACGATCTTATTATTCCTGCCTCTCACTCTAATCGTCTTTCTACCCCCACCATTGCCATCAGCGGTCCATTCTAGATGTCGATGGCTGTAAGCGACAACTCAACAGTAACACCTTTAAGTTGGTAGTACGCTATAGGAAATGTCCCTAGCCGCGGTGACGCGCTGATCGATGTCGCATCGATTGCATATAAGCTAAGACTCCATGTATGCGGTGAGCTGCGGTGAGCTCCGGCAAACACATGCGGAAGGTAACTCCATGTACGCGGCAGAGCTCTTAGCTTTTAGCGCTACGTCACGTACGCGGAAAGCGAAGATACTGATGTTTCGAGATAAAATAACCATACTGTACTGTGGGATACTTTTGTAAAAATGAATCACAACGATCTTGCCTTGCTTTTGTGGTTACGAAGAAGGCAAAGACGACAGAAAGTAAAAAAACAAGAATGCAGAATAGCACGATGGTGGGTTCATCCTATTATAGAACAACGTCATTTTAAAGGTGCTTATGATAACCTTGTGCTTGAACTTCGACGTGACCCAGAACGTTTTTTCAATTTCCACCGCATGTCACCTCTTCAATTTGATGAATTATTAGAAATGATAGAACCTGTTATTACAAAAGTACGCTTGACAAGGGAACCGTTGCATCCAGGACTACGATTATCATTGACATTGCGATACCTTGCATCTGGGGATAGTATGATAAGTCTACATTATCTTTATCGCGTAGGTAAATCTACTGTGCCAAAAATAATTATGGAAACAACGGAAGCGCTTTGGCAGATACTACAGCCTCAAGTACTTCCTCCACCAACTGTACAAACATGGACTAAAATCGCAGAAGATTTTACAAATAAATGGAATTTTCCCAATTGTGTCGGAGCAATTGACGGGAAGCATGTTGTTGTACAATGTTTTAAAAACACTGGATCAGCTTTTTATAATTATAAAGGCACGTATAGCACTGTTTTAATGGGAGTTTGTGATGCTAATCTTCGCTTTACATATGTTAGCATCGATTCTGCTGGTAGAGAAAGCGACGGAGGTATTTTTCAAAGTTTAGATTTTGGAAGATGCATTGAAACAGAAACACTGCCATTGCCTCCACCTAAACCTTACCGGGTACAAATATTTGCCTTCCTGCAGTATTTGTTGGTGATGCAGCATTCCCGTTGTTAAAGAATTTATTACGACCATACCCTGGTACTAACTTGAGTCCAGAAAAAATTATTTTTAATTATCGCTTGAGCTCAGCAAGACGTACAATTGAAAATACGTTTGGAGTAATGTCAGCCAGGTGGAGAATATTCCGACGGCCGATTATTGCGTCACTTTCAACTGTAAATAACATAGTTAAATGTTGTGTAGTACTACACAATTGGCTTCGAAATGCGGAGCTGAATGTTTTGCCTGGTCAAAGAAGGTATATTCTAGTAGGATTTGTAGATTCAGAAGATTGCTATGGAAACGTAGAAGCTGGTCAATGGCGAAACAAAGAGCCACCTGGTGCACTTCGATGTTTTGCATCAAATGTATCAAGAAATTCTGCGAATGATGCCAAAGTAATTCGACAAATGTACACAGACTATTTTATGAAAGAAGGCGAAGTACCTTGGCAATGGAATAAGCTCTAACTTTCAACGGAAAGCATATACGCAATAGGCAAAAGGTAAATTGGAACACATAATTTGTAAAATATGCAATCCATCAAATTTTATTTTGTTCTTCTGTTACAACTTGAGAAAGCGCTTGTAATACAAGTGTTTTCAAACGTAATTTCGCATTTACATTTAGATGCTGTGAATCCAGCGATATAGACAAATAGAAAAGATCGTCCGAATTCATAGTGTCAATCGAACTTCGTTTTTGTACCAAGTTTAAAATTGCCTCATCAACCGCATTTATGTGCGTATCAGATAATTGTCTTTTTGCTGAAAAAAGAAAAGAAACTAAATACTAACCGAGCAAACGTAACGTACCTGTTAGTTATAATTTCCCACTCAACACTCGTTATATTACATTTATATTGTTGAGTGAGAAATTGTAACTAACATGTATGTTACATGTAACTTTATGTTTGCTAGGAACGCACTGTATAAATAAGATATTCAAATAAATCAGTTATAGAATAGAAGCACTGCATAAACTTAATTACGTAATTTAAATATTTGTTCAAGTTTAATAATTTAAATTATTGAACTTAAACAAAAATTTATTATAATATAAATATATTATTATCGGTCTTTAGGAGCTTAGCTTATTTCTATATTTGTGTGTCATGTATTTTCAAATAAAGAAATACAATAAATTTACTTCGTTTTGCAGGTTGGATCTGATTTTGTTGAGGTTGGTTATCTACTGTACGAGATGTAGCTCTCAGAGGAGGCGTGGCACTGTCTCGAAGATATGATGCACTCGAGGGACCAGGTGAAATGCTCGGAGTACGAGATAGAGCTCTTACAGGACTAGGCAAGGTACAATTAGAACGAGGCGAGGCACTGTTAGGGCGAGACAAGGCACTGTTTGGACGAGACAAGGTGCTATTAGAATGAGACAGTGATCTGAAATTATGCGGTGAACAGAATTCTGTTTGTTCTGGCTGTCTGGTATTAGTATCCCACGTATTGTCCACTGTAAAATAATGTTTAAAAATATGTAATAAAATATTAAAGTATGTAGTATCATATAGGACAAATTTCCCGTGGTAGGCGGGATATATAAGTAATATATATAAAATAAATTGTACAATTTTTCTGTGTATACAGTTATTTAAACAAATATTTTTTGTTCCATTTACCTTGAAACTGTTCTTGTATGTTATGCACATTATCTTCTGTTTCAAATGTCTCCGATGGTGCTGGTGACAACGTATCGATGAGTGAGGGGCGTTCAATATTAAAACTTTCACAGTTTGTTATAGTTCTAATAGAGAAATTATAAAATAAAAATACTTTTTGTGAAAGGACATTGTTTATAACAATAAGAGGAATTGACAATAACGATGGTCATTCAAATTACAATAAAACTTTATGAATTTTGCTATGCTACTACAACTATAAAATCACTATAATATTTGTATATTTATATAAAGTAACACTTACTTGCGAGGTTCCACCACATCTGATAAAAAACTTAAACTTGCCATAAGTGACCATGGAGAAAATTGAGTAGCTGCTTGCCCACTTTTTGTTATAGACTTTTTTTTCTCCTTTATATATCGATCTCGAAGACTCCTCCATCGGTTCTTTACAAATTCATCTGTTTAAATGCATCATAATTTTTTATTATTGTTAACATATACATTTTTTATATGTAAGAACATGTTTATAAATGATTTCAATTTTAGAAGTAATTTTATTTTAAGAAAGCTTTTATCGGTCATAGCCAGATCTCCATGCTGAAATTTTATGTGTGAATTTAAAATTATTGGCGCACCGTTCCATGAACTTGAAAATGTATATAAATTCACACATAAAATTTCAGAACAGAGATCTGGCTATGACCAATAAAAGCTTTCTTACTTTCGAGTTATGTTCTCACGTATCAGTTGTGTACGAATAGGGATTTAGTTTAATTTTATTTTGTTCTGATGAATACTGATATTGGTTCAAGAGAATATAGCTTATAATATTAAAATTATAATAAAAACTCAAGAAAC